TCCAGCTGCGGATTCAGGGAGCTCTAAAATGAATCTCTACCGTTCCTTTCAAGGTCTTTCTGGATTCCTCCCAGTGTTGTCATTACTGAGGTCAATCTCGTAGCTGTTGAGATGTGCCCCCTTTTGCTGTCTTGTGAGTTGTAGTCAGTGATCCAGATGCCCACGGGCAGGACCTGCAGAAGCCTTGCCCCTTCCTGGTACAAGTGTGTGCCCCAGAACTGTGCGTAGGTGGTCTCTCCAAAACAAGGAAACGAGGAGTGGTGCAAGTTAGCGACCTGGCAGTGCAGCACACGTCTCCTGGGCTTGGATCCCTACTATTGTTAGTTAAGTGTAGGAAAATACTGTGTCTTTAAATGGATGAAAATTCAATGTATGCTGTGAATTTGTTGGTTTGAAACATTGAAAATTTTTCATTAGACAATGTTTACATACCTCACCTGAAGAACCTTTGAGAGTGTATATATATGAAATTTAAAAATATATTAAGTTGCTTTAAAACAATATGTACAGCTATAAAAGTTGGGATTATTTTAACTTTTAATATGTACCAAGTCTCTTAAATATTGAAATCTTGTGGACTTTTTTGTGCTTCTGTGTTTTACTTTCCTGTTAGACCACATAGGAAGCCGTGTTACTGTTATTGGTAAAGGGCCCCTCACTGAAATCCAGCTGTGGAAGGGTTTCCTTTGTTTGAGATTTTCTTGTTTGATTTTGAGGGATGGGGGACAGAGCTAGAGGATGTGTCAGAGGGAGTTCTCTAACATCGACATCTAGTCCATGAGCTTTTTCAAGGCGCTTATTTTATTGCAGCGTATTAAATTTCTTTGATATTAATATGTGTTTGTGTAATCATTGGAGAGAGTACAGAATGCATTGAAGCCCAGCTTTCAAGTCCAGCCCACATTAAAGCTGGTAGATTGCTAGGGCTACACACACACAGAAGCTCTGGTGGCCAAGTAAATAAGGAGTTGCACTGCCAACCCAAAGGTAGGCAGTTTGAAGCCACTAATTGCTCCACTAGGAGAAAGATGGGCAAGCTCCAATCTGATGTATCTCCAGCTCATGTCTGTTCTGACTCCAAAATACTTAATCCTGTGTCTCAGCCATAGTGTTGAAACTGAAGAAAACAATATTGTTTACTGAATTTGCGTGACTTCAGGGAAAAGAAAACATGATGGATGTTGGGAATTCCCAGGGCAAAGTTGGGAAGATGCCAGTGCTTCATCCTAAGAGTCAGAGAGCAGCTGTGTTCCAGCTCCTGACTTTGGGCGAGGACTGCCCCAGCTCTCCGTGACCCATGTTCAGGAGGCTGACCATACCACCTGTTCTGTTGTGTTCTTTCCTCAACACAGCTTGAGGCGAGTCTATCTAAGGACACTAACAGACTAGTGATTCCTATGGCCTAAACCGTAGTTTCATTAACGAGTTCATCTGGCAGTGGCCATTGGCATGTAGAACCACATCTGCTGAAAAAATAACCACAACAGTTGACAAAGCCAGCCCATCTTGCTAAGTTGGGAAAACTTCCTTTAGACATTTTCATTGTTAAGTAGATCTTTTCTCTCCATTATTCATGCTGTGGTAGAAACACCGCACAGGCACAAACAGACCCCCTGGGAGAACGGGCATCTTGGAGGGCTTTGAGGAGTCACCAAACTTGAAAAAATTTGCCAATCTAGTCATCAGACTGACTGTGCCTCTTCTTGAGGTCAGCCCTGGGCTGCTATGAAGGCATGGATTGTGTGACCCAGTTTTCTGCCCACCAATCCCTGTGGACATGACATCAGAGGAGGACCCTAATGACATCACAGGTTCCCCTAATGGTAGGGTCCTTGCTTGGAATGTCAACCAGGGCCTTTCCTGCCTTGAGAAATCACGTCTTACATCCTACAGAACTCACATCACCTACTCTGGCACTGAAACCTTTTCAGTTTATGAACTTTCTCCATTGATCTTAAAGATTGTTTTGGAGACAAGAAGGTCCATCTTACAGGGTTGCCTTGAGAAACCACACTGCTTTCTAAACTATCACCACAATGCTAATAAACCCTCAGGTAACCGGTAACAACCAAGTTTAAAGGACCTTAAGATGAGTCACCTTCCCAGACCTGTGTGTGCTGTGTCCAATGAGAGGTTCAGACCACACTGACTGAGCCCAAGGGCTGTGATAGAGCATCTCCACTCCCCTCCTCCAAAAGGACCCCAAAACTCTGGGGTCTGATGTTCTATGGGTGCATGGTGGAGCCCTCCCCAGGTGGTGGCTGGTCTCAAAACCCTTACACCCTGAGTGACTGTCATCAGCCAGCACAGGGTGAAAAGAGATCAACAAGGCAGAATCAGTGAATCAATGTCATGTTCACGTGGAAATCAGCAGACAGTATTTAACATGTTCTAAAACAATACTGCATCTAGGAAGAGGACAGGCGTGGCTCCTTCATGGGCCTGTTCTAAACCAGTCTCTTTAAAAGAGTTGATTTAAACAAGACTACAGAAACCCCCAAAGAGAACATCACAACCACATAGCATCTGAAAATTAAAACAAGACACCAGATGTTGACCTTTAACATATAAAAATACTATAACAAAATGAAATACAAATATATATTAGAATCTGTAAGTATTCTGTATAAAGAGATACTTTCGCGGTTAGGCTAACAGCAGGCAAAGAGAAGACGAACTCCAGGGTTTTTTTCCAATTCCCAACACCTTCCCCGACAGCCCAGGCCTGGGGTGCCGCCAAGCACCAGCTCCCTGGGGACCTCCCCGCTTATGTCTCTTGAGTGCATGTTTAATGGAAATGGCCCATGGTGACGTAAAGCAAACTGAAGTTCTTTGCCAAAGGGGCTGGGAAATAAGGAGAAGGATTCTCAGAGGGATCATTTCTTGGCAGCCTTCTTTCCGGCTGCCATGGGCCAGAATGTGAACAGCGACGGGAAATGATAGCTCAGTTCCTTAGCAACTTGCAGGCTGGTGGGTAAGTTGTAGGACAAGCTGGTCCTGGGCACAGTCTCTGGGCCCCTGGTGGCCCTAGTCCTCTGTCGCACCTGAGGACTGCGGAGCTGTGGGGTGCTGGAGAGGGTGGGAGCCCCACAAGCTCATTCCTCAGGAATAGAAGCCATCCTCTGACCTAGCCCCGCAGCACTGGCTGAGGGCACACAGGGAGAGGGTGCAGGGCTCTTGGCAGCTGTCACCCGTGTGCAGGTGCCCTTTCCAACTCGTGCAGAGTGAAGGTGAGACCTCCTACAGTAGTCCCCCATCTCCTCAGGAAGGTGCTTCTGGGCAGTGAAGAATGGTGGTGTCCAGGGAAAGGGCCATTTCTGGGGCTGCTGGATCCCAAAACACATTTTCCCCCAGGTAGGGGACATTGGAGCCTTTTCACTCTATCCAGACTTGTGTGAGTTTCTGTCCTGAGTCCGCCTTGTGGCCCAGAGAGTCAAATAAGCAGTCAGTCTGCTGTCCACAGAGGGCCTGACCCACCAGGCAATGGAGAGGTGGGTAACTGTGGCCTTACTCAATGCTACAAGAAAACAGCCTGGCCCCAGGCCGAGTACCAGTCAGCTGAGTAAGGAGGTTCCTCTGCCGTCATAGAGCTCCTCACCTGGTCATGGAGCAGGCTAGCGCTCCACAGTCAAGGGAGCCTCACTCTACTCCTTCACCAAGACTTTGTCTCAATGCTCATTTCAGGGAACGCAGCACAATTTCACTGCAGCCCCCTACAACCCTGCCTAAGTTTGCAGTGGAAGGGACTAAGAAAAAGTCACCACCCCCTTCTCCTGCTCACCATCCAGAAGAAAAAGGCCAAAGAGTGATCTTTTTCCCTCTCTCCCTCCCACCCCCAGCTGGTTCACTATTTGGGCTCCACAAACCATCTTTTTCCATTTTTATTTGCATGGAAGAAAAGTCTTTCCATCTAGTGACTTCCAGTAGTGACTCCTTCCTCGCTAAGCAGGCAGCTGGAGCCGGGCTGTGTGTGATCGTTGCCCGCCCTCCACTCTTGCCAGGCATCCCGGCCGTTCCTGTGCAGGCCACTCAACAGGACCCAGTCCCGGGATAGGCACATACAGACTTGCCCACATGATCAACGACAATGGGTCTTCTGACTCATTCTTCTCCAGGTCCCTCGTGGAGCCACAGTGGAAGGGTCTACGTGTATTGTCATCCCTCCTTCCCCCATTTTACAGAGGAAGGTACTGAGGGTTGGAGGGGAGGGGGAAACATTGTTCAAAGTAACTTAGAGCCAGTGGGTGGGTTAGAGTCAGGGTTCCTGCAGGCAGGACCATCGCTCCTCCACTACCTCCGGCCGGTCTGCAGTGTAATGGGAACCTGAACCCAGTGTCCTCTGCCCACTCAGGGAAAAGACCCGTCCATGATCTAGCAGCATGTCCCAAGCCCCCTGCCAGTGGGACAGCAGTTAGTGGCTGGCTGGTGGCTGGGGAAGCCCAGGGTGTGTCCCTTCTGCTTGGCTGGTGTCTGGTGGCCGCCGCTGTCTAGAACCAAGAGCTCCCCTGCCCTTTTTGGTGTGGCCTCCCCAAACAGGTCCAGTGGGTGTCTCCTCCACATGAGCTCCCCTGGACGCTGCAGTGGTCACCATATAACTTCAGGATTCAGAGGCCTGGCCCTAAGAATCGCCCCCCTCCCTCCTCATCCCTAAGTAGTAGGTGCAGCCTTGCCAGATAGCAGGCCACAAGGGGATTGTCCCTTCCTGGCCGGCAGGAGAAGCCCTTCCTAGCCACCGTCTGGCCCAGCAGACACTGGAGGGCCCAGAAAGAGCCCGGAGCCAGACTGGCTGCCCAGGGCAGGGTGGGACTATTCCAAGGTTATCCAGAGGGGTCAGCAACCCAGCTTCACTAGGTCACTGTGGGTCACAGACCCCAGGGAAAGGGTTGGTGTGGGGAGGGGCCAGGTCCCCCCTCCATATCCAGGGAGCAGCAACAAGGGGGTGTCACCGGGATTCTGCACTTCTTGGCCTGACCTCACGCACACATTCATTCAACAAATATTTATTAAGCGCCTATCTGTGCAAGGCACTTCCGGAGCAGGCAGCCCGCGGCCGCGCCCACCCCCTCGGCCCCCAGCTGCAATGGCACCTGCTGTAGAAAGGCTGCCTCGAGGGGACCCCCACCCTCCGCCGCCGGGCCCGGCTGTTGCCCGCTGCCCGATGCCCTGGGGATGGCCCGCCCCCCGGCCAGCTCCGTCCCCGCCCCCCAGCCACGCCCGTCCCGGGCTACACGCAGGCGGCGCAGCCGCACTTGGTGGGCTTCTCCACCTCCTCGGCAAAAGAGGTCCCGTCGCTGCACTCAAACGTGAACTTCCTCCGCTTCAGCCGCAGGCCTTGGCAGCAGCCCCGGGCAGGGCACAAGCCTCGGCACTCCACCCACGACAGCGGGCGCGTGGTCTGGCAGATGGCATAGCCCCTCTGGACCTGGTGAAAGTCCCGGACAGGGTCCCCCCGGCACTCGGACTCTGGATGGGACAGACACCAAGACAAAGCCTCAGGGCGACGAGGCGCAGGCGGCGCCATGCGGTCCTCCATGCTCAGACCCTCCTGCCCCGCACGCAGCCCGGGGACGGGGACGGGGACGGCGGGGACATGCACATGCACCGCGCACATGCACCGCGCTCCGGGCCTGGTGTGCGCAGGCCGGGGAACAACTTCCTAGCTGCCGCTCTCGGAGCAGATGCGGCTTCCAGGGCCCGGTGAGTCCCGTAACTAGAGGTGCGAAAGAAGAACCTGGAGGCCTGCGAGGCAATATGTTATCAAAGGAACTCGAGTTCGAGCCCCACAAGCTGCTGGTTCTGGATTCCTCTACATTTTCCCTTGCGGCTTCACCAGGGTCTGGATTCCAGCGGAAACTCCGTGGTCAAGGGAGGCCAAGGGGGTGAGGGACGAGCGCTGGGAAGGAGTCCCCAACCCTCAGAGTTCTGCTGCGTTCCAGCCCATTTTTAGAAGAGAGCCCATTCAGAAAGGGGAACAGGGTCTAGGATTGGGTGCAGCATCTTTCTGAGGTGGGCTCAGTGTCCAGGGGGTGGGGACACCAAAGTCCAGTGGTGGCCCAAAATGGAGGGGCCCGCTGAGGTTGGAAGAAAGAAAAAATCAAGTTGCTAAAGCCGGTTTGGGGAGGGGCCCAGGAGAGGACACGTCAGGAGGAGGGGCCCTGACCTTGTTCACACAGCTCGCCTGAAAAGCCTGGGTCACACACACAGTGTGTTCCCTTGGTGGCCGAGGCCTGGCAGTGGCCGTGCAAGCACTGCAGCCCCCTGCAGGGGTCTGCCGGAGCCCCGGGCTGGTTGCACAGGGCCCCCGAGTACCCATCCTGGCACTGGCAGCTATAGGAGAGAGCATCGAGGGGCATGCAGTTGCCATGGACACACCTGCAGAGGCAGAGAAAAAGCTTGGTGAAGCCAGGTCCTGCCATGCCAGGGCCTACCCTGAGGGTGCCCCACCTCCCCCAGCCATCACCTCTGCTTTATTCTGTGCCCAGGATTAAACAAAAGGCACAACATTGACTAAAACGTGTCCCTAACGGACTTTTTCCTATTAATAAAAACTGAAAACCAAAGGAGGAATAAAACCCCACCCCAACACCCCTGAGCTGGCTATGCGTTCTAATTTGGGAGTTTACAGAATACTTTCCACAGAGCTGCTCTCCCCCTGGGACGCGGGACTCAGTGAACAGAGTGCAGGCCCCCGCTCCCCACTCACTTATGGCCATGGCAGGGGCCGTCCGCTGGCTGGTCACAGTGCAGGCCTCCCCAGCCGGCCTCACAGTGGCACACCGGCCCCGGGGTGGCATTGGGCTGGCAGATGCCATGTAGGCAGTACAGCTTGCGGCACGGCTCGCAGCCGGGCACCACGCCGGGCTTCATCTGGGTCTTGGTGAAGTCCTGCAGCTCGTTGTTGATGTAGAGGTTTCGGATACAGCCATGGAAGCTGGTGCCATTGAGGATCTGCCACAGGCGGAAGGCGGCCGAGTTCACGTCCACGGGCATCCCTGCAGGGGCAGGGCCGACACCACCTCTGGGGTCAGCTCAGCTGTCCCAGTGACCTCTCTCTTACCTGGGCCCCCAGCCTTCCACCTCTGGAACCCTGAGCAATCTTCAAAGGTCCAGACTGGAAAGCCGGCTTCCTCTGTCATCAGAGCTGGGGGTGGGGCTGAAGTGTGGATGTCTTCACCTAGGGCACCCACTTCTACCTCCCAGGGACCCCAGGTGCAGCAAAAGGCCTAGAACCCATGACACTTGGTCACACGCTCGTCACACGGCAGCTTTCTGAAATCAGTAGCTCTGTCTCCACTTGGCAGATGCCCGCGACCTGCTGGTGGTTTGGTTACATACCTCATAGTTAGCGGAGCTGGGATTAGAACCCAGGGCTCCACCCCTCAACATCTGCCTGGATGTCTCAACAAGCACCTCGCAATGCTGAGACAGCACTACTACCAGGGGGCCTGCTCTGACCGGATCTAGAAATGTCTGCCATTGGGGACAAAGCAGGAAGTGGGGTTGGGTAGGGTGAAGGGAGAGGTCATCTCCTTGGCCAAGCCTGGAAGGTCAGCCAGCGAGGTCTCTGGTTGACACAGAGGCTTCTGTTCAGAAGTATGTTGCAGCTGCTCTGAGCGTCTGAGGCTCCATGACAGGGAATGGACCTCAGATAATGAAGAAGTCCTTTCCAGCCCAACAACAAGAGGATGGTTGCCTGAAGTGGGCATGTGGGCAGGAAGGACCCAAGCTAAACCTCAGGCCCAAGCCACATCCCCACCCTATGTGGTCAGATTCAGAGGACAGAGCAGCTGTGGGCTCCAGGGTGAGGAGGAAAGACATCATTCACTAGACCTCCCCCCCCCCC